CTGTAAACTTGCATAAGGAAAAAAATGCTATTATTTTTGAAAAAAAATCTTTAAAAATAAAGATCTCGTTTAGGTCGTTTGTTTAAATCAAGCAGTATACAAATACTGAAATATGTTACATGTTAACATTAGGAAGAAAAACAAATAAAATCTTAGATTGTGGATCTGCGCATACTGAAAATGTCATACATAAATGGTTGCAGTTTTAATTCAGAAAGTAAAATTAAGAATCTCCAAAAGTGCTTTTTGAAAATTTATTACGTTTACAATTCCCTCTTCCCCCCCTTTTTTTTTTCAAAATAAGTTTTTTGTAAGACATGAATGAATTTAGAATACGTTAATATTTTGTCAACTGCGTATTCAATTTAAAAACTTATGGAAATTTGATGATGAACAACTTTTAGCTTCGCATTTTTAGCCCAAAGGAGCGTTAGCCAGAAGGGCTAGTAGTCTTGAAACGTATTTTGCGTTGAATCACTCTAAAAGTCTGAAATCTTTTCAAAATGTTGTCACCAAATATTATCGCCTTGTATTATATTTAAAGAAATTAATTAATGAAGAGTCTGCATGAATGTATATATGTTCTTCCTATTGTGAAAATACGACGGTACCTACAGCCATCAAATTTCGAAGTACATAATATAAGTAATATTTTGAAGTACGTCGTAATAAAGTTATTCGACGGAAAATGCCGTTTTGAGAATAATAGCCCTTCTGAGATAACACCTATTTGGGCTAATAAAAAGAAAAATCTGATTTAACTTAATTATTAAACATCGTTTTCTTCGCACGTAAATCATATAAAAATTCAACAGCAAAATCACAAAAATTTTAAAAGCAGCATAGCACATGTCTGGATCTCGCGATGCAGTTTGTTGACATATATTTTTTGTTTGTTTGTTTCAGTCTTTTCTCTCATCACATCAGAGTTCTGTTTTTTAGTAAACTTTACAAAATTTTCTTCATACTAAGATGCTTACAAAGCTTTCATAGTAAGACGGCTTTTTTATTTTTTATTCACGTTTTGTGTGTTAACTTTATTTATTAAATATCACATTCTCTTCAATTATCGCGACATAAAATTCAATTCAACAGCAAAATCACAAATCATTTAAAAATAGAATATCTTTAGAATCGCCATTAGACAGTCTCGCGCCGTGGAGATAAAAAGTTTTTTTTTTTTTTTTTTTTTTTTTCCGTAGAGCGATTGATGCCACTGCTCGCTTTCAAATCGTTGAATTTGTTAATCAAAAATTCAGTAAAATGTTGCAAAATAGGAAATATAAAATTCGGGCTTCTAGTTGCACATGTTCGGGTGGAAGTTTGGTTTGGTTTATTTAATTATGGCAAAGCACACTAGGGCTATCTGCCTAAGGAGAGGGATGCCTTCGTGGAAGACTTTCTAAGGGAAACTGGCTCGTATACACGTTACACATGAGGAAAACCACGGAAACGCCCATGCAGCCAGCCCGTTCGCGGGATTTGAACCTCGGACCGAACTACCAGTGTTCAGCGATTTTACCGCTCGGCCGCTGGTGGGCCTCGGGTGGAGGACTACGTTATTTAGAATTTGATGGGCCCAGGTACCGTCATTATTTCAGAACGCGAAGAACATACATATTTCATTTTTGAGGTTACGGCCCTTTTTACCGCCCTCCTTTTTTTTAGCATCGTCTCTCCCGCCCTCGAGCGACCTCTTAAGTGGTATGCTTCTCGGCCAAGGGACATATGCAGATTGTTCATTATTTAATTTCTTTAAAAATAATACAGGATGATAATATTTGGTGAAAATAATTTGGAAAGTGATCCTCGGTTTATAGTGGACCACGCAAAATCCCGTTTCGCGACTAACAGCCCATTCGGGCTAACGGCCTTTTCAGTTGTAAATAGTTGAGCATTTTTTTTTTTTTTTAATTTCCATCATTTTCTGCCTTTTTATTATATGTACCATTAATTAATAGGCATTTCTTTAATATACATTTTATCAAAATTTATTTCCATCTATTTCTTGTCTGTTTTATGTAAATACACATGATACAATCACTAAGATTATCAATGCATAATCATTAAAACCTATGATATAAAATCATTAAGCTGTTTTTAAATTTTATATCCTCGAGTGCTTTGCGATAATCAAATTAACCAAACCACTTACATGTAGGTACATCAATATCATTTCGAAGTAACTAATAAATTTTCATTATAATTTTGCTCTCTCATGTATCCTGTATATTATGTATTATGGATATCAGTAATATAGCTCGCTTTTAGTAAATGAGCCTTACTTGATGCAACTGCACAGCGAACTTGGGTAGCAGAATTTTTATGAATCCAGGTCGCTGAAATCTGAGATTTTGATTTACGCATATTTTTAATTGCTGTACTCATTCATTTCTTAGCTACAGTGTCTGGCATTACATGAATTAAATTACTATTAAAAAAAACTTTTATAACTACAGTAAAACTGTACAGTTCCAACTTTTAGTTTATTTCGTTGTTTTAAATCATTTTAAAAGTATAAAATATTACTCTTTAAACTGAAACTTTGCATTTAATGTAACAAATATTTAACTATTTAAATCTGAAACAATAAAGAAAATTATGTAATTAAATTCAACATTTTGAAGAAAAATTTAAAGAAAAGTTATGTACATCGCTGGCGATTTGATCTATCCAATGATATACGGTGCTAATACTATAATAGTATTTTTATGAATAAATGGTTGAACCAGATTTAAAAGAACCTTTTCTTTCAAGGTAAGCAGTTTAGGAGTGTAAATTCTTATATGAAGATTATTAGGGAAATTATATTCGAGAAGTATATTTAATTTAAATCAGGCAATTATCAGGAGTTCATTACTGTATCAGATAATAAATTAACATCAATATGACAAGTATATGAGATATAAAAAATAGAAGGTCATCTTAAAATAGCGGAATAACTCGTTCAAACTGTGCATAAAAAATGAGTTGGCATTAAACTTGATTTCTTACGAACTCTGGGCACATAATTCGAACTTCAATTTAATAAAAGTTAAAATTAAATTTTTGAATCTGAAATTACTTTTTACATTCGTGTGGTTAATTTCATCGTAATTAATAAAACGAAGCATTCAGCCATGAAGAAGAGTTAGAAAAAATATCTCATTTCAATTTTAAAAATAAAAATTTTAATTTAGAAACATAAACATGAAATGAGTTATTTATAATTTCTTTGCTGTAATTTAAATAATTATCATAAAAGCATAATTTTTTTTAAAAACTGTAAATTAGAAGCGTTTTCAGAGCACGAGCTGTTTAGTTAATTAGATGATTTACATATTTTCTGCCTATCTGACCTGCTGCTATAGGCGAGATTTTATGCAGTTACATAAAATCTCCAAAATTTTCCAAACTAATTTAAAAAATATAAATCATCGCATTTCTGCCATTAATATCGTAACAGATACAAGTTTAATATGTGTCTCAGTTATGCATAACGCAGTCACATGCATCTTAGTGAACAATTTATCTTCATCACAAGAATTTTGTTATTCGATGTTAAAAATTTTTTACATAAATTTAGATGAAAAGAAATGCTGCATTTGTTCACATAATCACTTCTTAAAGAAGTTTAGAGATAAAACATCAAATATTAAAAAATTGTAAAACAATACAATTTTAACTTAAAATAATATTAAATTTAGGTACTAAATTTCTAAATACAATAAACTAAGGCGGCAGAAATGGTGCTTATTTGCTAAGTATTTTAATATTTTAAACGATAAATGTATGGTTAAAAAAAAAAAAAAAAAAAAAAAAAAAAAAAAAAAAAAAAATTGCAAAAGGTGCACCAACTGAGCAACTATTAATTTCACTATTTACGGATTAGAAGAGTCAAAGATTATATTCAAAACACACTTCAAATAATAACTTCGTTTTTCTAAAACTATACTCAAGCACTAACCAAAGTTGAAAAAAAGAAAAAAAAAAGCAATGTATGAGGAAAAAAAGATAATGATTAATATGAGTGGGATATTAAAATTAAATTTCGCTTACTACAGTTGAGTTTTACTATTCGATGGCATTTACATACCAATATGTGAGTAAGATTTATGTGAGTTAAACACTTATATCTTCCTTCCATAGCATACATTCTTGAATACTTCAGAATTAGAATTTTAATTCCTTCACAAGTTAAAAAAATATTCGAAATACGGGAAACAAAATTATGTAATATTTATTATTTTTTAAGTAACACTCAATAAAATACCAGCCGCTTATTACTGAGTTATTTCGCCCTTTCATTAGCCCCTTCTGATTTGATAGGTTTGCTCCTTGATTAAATTTAAAGTCTACAATTTCTATTTTTACATTGTAGAGCAATCTTATAAATCAGTTTAATTTAGTATTTCATGAAATGCAAGTTAATTCTGAACTCCTTGGGAAATTCTGCACTTAGCATGAGAATACTATAAGCTTACTAGTATTTTATCTTACGATGTCAACTTTTTGATAAGCAAATATAGATACCCAACAACAACAACAACAGCAAAAGCAAAATTAGCAATTAAAGATTTCTATTTTTTTTTTACCTGTAGTGGTCAGCGCATTCCCAGTAGTGAGTTTTTCTAAGTACCCAAAATTTCCACGAAAACTGAAGATCCAAGAAGCCGTTTGAATGGCCAAGAAATCAAAATGTGAAAATACGAAAATAAAAAATGCAAAAGATGCAGTCCGGGCAGTCCGGAGGTATCCGGTCGGTCGCGGCCAAATGGCTTGTGTCGTGTCAGAGGTGTTGTTTATTTGGGTGCGGATTGAGTGCCTGCGCGGGAGCAGTGTCCGTAGCCGCGGCAAATTACATTTAGGAGGCAGCCAGAGAATAGGCTCCCCGGCAAACTAGTTAATCCCCGTTTCACAAATTTAATCAAGGAGCAAACCTATCAAATCAGAAGGGGCTAATGAAAGGGCGAAATAACTCAATTAATTGTGTTCCGCCGCCAATGAGAGGGAGGGCTTACCTAAGGGAGCGGCTGTACCGCTGTGGAGGTTGTTGAGCATCCTCGCGGCCGGATCCTCACTGCTGCCGCCACCGTAGAAGTAGGCGAAGGGGACTGGACTTCGGTGGGCCACCCTGTCGCTCGCCGTGTTTCGGGGGGATTCGTCCTTGTGCTTCTAACGTTATCAAATCCTGAAATTTCCGAAGAAGCGAATGGACCAACGTTTAAAACGTCCAATATACTGCGTTGAGTCGTCGCCTTTTGTTCTAGGCCGTGTGGCGGGCGCAAACCTCGCTCCGACCAATCAGAGGGCGTCGCGGGCGCTTGTCAACTATTGTCACTGCCGGCGCTCTCCTTCCCTCCTCCGAGCGCCCCAGAGGCAGCAAGTCCCCCCGCCCCCTTAAATCTTTTCCTCCTCCCGCCACATCCACAATGCTCTCCTTTCCAAGGAGAAACGACTCGGCGCTCTTCGCTCTTTCTCTCCTATCTCTCTCTCGCGCGTGCATTCACACACACACACACCTATCTATATATCTATACATAAACAGATATATTTATATACAGAATCCACTTCCCTTACCGACCCCCTGTAAGCTGGGAACGTTGTAGATAAATGGAAACGCCTTTAGCTTCAACGTGATTCGGTGACTTCTTTATTCTCTGAAAACTGACAAACGATATTGCAGTCGGAAATTTTTGATTTCATCACATTCGCCTTTTCGAGATTACGCGCCCTTTTCTCTCTCTCTTTCTTTCTTTTATTCGACATATCGCTGGCACTAAAGACGAATATTGAAAAGTGACAATGCTTGATGTGCTTAAATGAGTAAAAGTATGGTAAAAGAGGATCGGTTATTTGCAATCGCATTTATTTCGGCTATTGTGATTACTTTAATTGGATAATCACGAAAAAACGAAAGTTGTTAAATACAAAAACATTTCTCATAAAAATATTGTTCTCGATCTAAATAAGCGCGAGCTAAAAAAGATTTTAAGAGTTTAATTTTCCCCGCATATTTGATAAAAATAAACGGAATTTAATATGCATCTGTTATACTGCTCGTCCTTGTTATAACGCGGGAGCTAGAGTGAAAATTCTTTTAAAGGGAATAAATGTTATACTGAAAATGAAGAGCACCTCAAATGAAAAATTGAATTTTTACATGGTTTGAGGGAAATTAGTCCTTTATAAATAAAAATAAACTCTAAAAAAAGTTTAAAAAGTATGAAAACTTTCAGATTTTATATAACGCCCAAATGGGTGTTTTTTGAACGTTTTGTGTGCTATTTATTAAATAGAATGTTTTTCGCACTTAAATCATAAAATTCAATTCAACAGCAATATCACAAACTATTTCAAATAGCATATCTTTACATTCTTTTTTTTTCGTGCAGTGTTGCCACTGCTCGCTTTGAAATCGTTGAGTTTGGCAATCAAATATTTTTTTACTCCTTCACAAAATCATAAATAAAACAAATTAAAAATTTGGTCTTCCAGATACACACATTCTAAAGGAGGATTACATTTTTCAAAATTTCATGTCTCCAGGTTATCTTTTCACAGTTCGAGAAACATACATACATTCATGCAGATTCGTCATTATATATTTTTTTAAATATAATGCAGGGTTCTAATACTTAGTGGCAACAACTGGAAAAGTGAACCGACATTTATAGTGAACGGGCACAAAATGACAAAACGAAATTAATAGCTCTTCTGGGCAAATTGACTAAAAACCTTTTTTTTTTTTTTTTATTTATTTATTGCAGTCCAAAAGCACCATACAAATAAAAAGCAATAAAGGGAAGTATAATACAGATTTTGTTCAGAAAAATTAAATACATAAAAATGAAGTTCTTTCACAGTCATAGATAGATTAATTATATTCAATTTATTTATCAAAGGTTTATTTATAACAGATTTATTTATCAAACTTAAGAATGACAAAACATAGAAAACCTCCTCGGAGTACCCTGAGAACTCTGCTTTTAGATACTGTATTATCGTTAAGTTTTTTATTCCGGAACATTTGAGTTGATACAACAGCCCTATAACTTTCAAAATCGCGATATAATGAAGATCTTTATAGCTCTACAAATTTTAGTTGAAAGAATTTCAGTACTTTAGAATTTTAATTCTATGAAAACTACTAAAATGTTTTGCTACACAACAACGCTTTATATACAATATAATACATTGCTTTAGATAAATAAGCCGCGACTCAGCAAAGGGTCAAAAAGATAGTTTTGGTTGGTACAGCGAAAAGCTCTTAAGTACATTATATACTTACAAATATTTATTTGAAAAAAGAATTTATTTATAATTACATGGTAACTATTTGCAGTTGCATACGTTTACTTACTAGCCCAAAGCAGCGTTAGCCCAGAAGGGCTATTATTCTCGAAATGGTATTTTGCGTCGTTTCACTATAAACGGCGAATCACTTTTAAACTGTAGTCACCAAATATTATCGCCCTGTATTATATTTAAAGAAATTAAATAATGAAGAATCTGCATGAATGTATCTATGTTTCTCGCACTGTGAATAAACGGCGATATCTAGAGCCATCAAATTTTGAATAACGCAATCCTCCACCCGAACATGGGCAACTGGGCGCCCGAATTTGGAATTTGGAATTTATTTTATAACCTATTTCATATTTTGTGAAACTTTAAAGAATTTCTGATTAGTAAATTCAACGATTTCAAGTTAAGTAATGGTAACACTGTATGGGAAAAAAACCTTTTCATCTCTAGCGCAAATATTTTTATCTCCAGACTGTCTATCGGAAATTCGAAAGATAAGCTGTTTTTAAATGTTTTGTGATGTTGTTGTTGAATTGCATTTTATATGGTTAAAGTGATATGATATCTAATAAATAAAGGTAACACACAAAACTTTATAAAAACGAACCTTTGGGCATTATATGAAATCCGAAAGCTTTCAGATTTTTTATTTACTTTTCATCATATTTTTTCCCTTCTCGGAATATCCGTTTTTAATTTTATGTATATTGGTTTTTAATTTTATGTAATTAGTTGCAACTGCATGCATGCGAGATGCTATACGAATCGCAACTAAATAGCAAGAGGCACGAGGTTAAAGTTTTAGAAACGCTGCTTTATAGATCAATAAAATACGAAATTTGGCAACAGGCGGAAAACTTAAAACAGAATTTCTAAAATATTTGCATGTACTTGAAATAGTCACTGCAGGGGAAAAGTTATTAGTTTATGTATTCGAAATTTAATACACTGAACTTTTGATTATCTATTATTATTATTATTATTTCGGAAATGAAATCTGTAGAAGTTTTAAAAGAACGACATGCAGTGTACTTTATAAAACAAGCCTTTGTTTAAAATAATGGGAAAATGCAAAGGATTTTCCCGTTCGCTTTTAGAAAGTTTGATTAGAAAGTTCTGTTGCTTTTCACTCAAAACTGAATTAGCGAAAATGCTTAATCAGAATGAGTTCTTTGGTGCTCTGCATTGGTTCTTGATCCCTTCAATTCACGGAAGTATTTGGCCTAACTTAAATTTCCAGTTTGGCATCGCCTTATTACTTGAGTATAAAAGACGAAAAACCTTCGTATTTATTTCTTAATTATTGTTCATTGAACGGGAGTTGGTTTGAAAAGTCAACTAATTTCCGATCAATGGCAATGATTACGTGCTTTTAATTTAATTACTTTCTTTTAATTTAATTTCTTTTTATAATTGAAATTTTGTTATTCATGATTTAATTCAAGTCCCCGTTAAACATTTTTAACAATTTACATTCAAGTTACTTTAAAACAATTTTCGGAATTAAACTTACTAACAATGGATTCACTCTTTTTAGGTAATTCTACTGAAATTAATCTTAGGAGATAGTATAATCAATATTTCTTTAGTAAATAAATTATTATTAACTTACTTTGCAGCAATTGAGCAAGTAGTAGAATAACTCGATTTCGCACTAAGTGAATTTAAGATTATATATAAGGCGACTTTGAAGAAAGTTTAAGCTAAACTTCTGTTCTTCAGAATAACTGCTAGACAAAATAAATATTAACCTAAATTGTAGCATTTTAAAATTCATTTTAGGATGTGTTATATATTCAATGAGACTTTTCGAATAAATTCGCAATAAGACAAGCGAAAAACAGCTCAAGTTACAGAAAACTAAAATTACTTAAAAGTTTAACTTCCGTTTCTTGCGGTCTGAGACTGCAAAAGTAGTTTAGTTATTTACAAGAAAATATTAAACTGATGGGTAAGAGCTCAGCTCCTCTGTTAAAGCCCTTCTTGAGTTAATTCAAATGGAAGATAAACTCATCAAGAACAAGCATAACTTTTCTATCGGTAGAAGAGCAATACAATTCTCCTGCAATTTTTTTATGTTAGATTTACGCTCATTATATTGTAAGGTATTTCTCCCACTTCCCTAGCGTGCCTTCGTGGTGCAACGGTAGCACGCTGGGCCGGTATTCCAGAGGTCCGTGGTTCGATTCCCGGCGAAGGCGGTTGTTAATTTTTCATCTCTCTGGCTTCGAAAAAATCCTAATGTCTCTACAATATAAACTAATTTAATTTACATTCCTGATGGAATTGAGTAAGTAGGAGGGTAAAACTAAAGAGTAAAGAAAGTAAAAGAGTAAGACCAGATTTATTATTAAGAAGATGCTACTTTATATAACATGATATTAAAACGAGCACTTCTCATTATTGCTCAGTAATTTTTCTGTAATTTAACAACTGGAAGAAAATGTTATAAATTTTACTACGATTAATATTGCGTACTGACAAAGTATTAGTTTTCGTCCCTTCACTTTTTCGAAACAATAGCTGCAAATCTCGTGCGCAAGATATTCGGTAAATAAAAATCCACAGCTGTGTCTTAATCAAATATTTTTCTTTTTAAAAAAAATGTAAAAGTCTCTGCATGTTAATCTGTAGTGGAATAATATCACAGCAATTTATTTTCCTACAGTTTAGCAGTGCTATTTGGAATAGTCAGTTGTAAATATATGATTTTATGTTTTGTATTTTGGATTTCTGATGATAAATTCTTAAACTAGTAGGCTTATCATAAATATTTAGCTTAAAAGTAGCTCAGTTTGAATCTGAATAGGAGAATCAATTTGCGATTTAAATATATATATATATATATTTAACAATTTAAAACTTTTTGTTCGTAAATTTTTCTTTAAAACTGTGTTTTG